GGGTAAAGAGTGGAGTGGAGTGGAGTGGAGAGTAGTAAATTCGACTGCGGATAGTCCAAACAAAGTGCCAAGGTCAGTCAGTGCAAAGGTTGGATCAAGTGCGCCGGTAGTCCGCCGTGATGATAGAATCGGCCTCGTCGATATTTAAACTGAATAGGAAATCATTGACGTGGAATTTAAATACCTTTAATTAGTCACAATCAAAAAAATTGAAATCCCTGAAAATGTTGCATATGTTACGATAGACTAAGTGTGAAACATAGTATGAATTAGTCGTAGAAAAAGTATAATTCACTTGAATTGTGGTGATTCCAACTCTAGAAGAATATCTTGTATTATATATATGTGAAATATTTTGAAAAATGTTATTGTAATTTGTACGGATGTTTATTAATATTGATTTTACGTACAACTGGCGAACAGTGAGGACTCCTATTTCTTTAAATAGAGCGTCAGTTAGGTAACGTTTGCATTTCCCAAATCCTATTTTTTAAATTGATTTTTGAGCAATATTCAATGGTTCCAAGATACTCCTATAACAGCCGCCTCAAGGTATAATACCAAACGAAAGTAGTGATTGAACAAAAGCAAAGTAAGCGATTTTTAATTCCTTAACAGTCAAAACTTCTCTCATGTGTTTGAAGGCAAAAATTTATTTCCTAATTTTATTTCTAACATAATTAACGTGATCCATCCATTTTAATCGTTAGTCAAACAATACACCTAGGTATTTATAAGAGTTGACCTTTTCTATACTTTCACATCTACCTACAAGAATTACTTTGATAATCGTTACATTCGTCAATTTTGAGATTGCCTAAATTGAAGTCTGTACTCTTGCTAATAGATATAGGCTAGGCATGAATTTTGTTTTAGAATCATTTAATGAAAGAACATTTTGATTTAGCCACTTCTTAATCATCATGAGGTCTTGTGTGGCTCTGTCATACAAGACAAATTTGGGCCAGGTCTTTCCTTGCAAGAAAATTAGGCTGTCATCGGCAAATAAAAAGATTTGACCAAAGATGTTTAGTCCAGGGCCCTGTTTCATAAAAATACTAGTCTAGTAATTACTAGTCTAGTAAATACTAGTCCCGTATTTACCTGTCCTACTAATTTGTGTTTCATAAACGTTTTTATACCGCTAGTAAATACTAGTGAAGTTTACTAGTCACGTGACCGAAACTACTAGTCACGTGACCAACTTTACAAGGTAAATTCTCAAAACAAATTTCTAACCTCAATCACGGGTTTTCAAACCATTCATAAAGGGTTTTAATTTTGTTTTCATTTGATACAAAAAGTAAATAGTTGTAGAAACGCAGTGTTTTCTTTAAATTAATAACTATATAGACACATAAGTAAAACAATCACATATTATTTATCAAAACGCTATTATTTATGTTCATCAATGAGCCTGCCGGCGCGGCGCGGCGTCGCGTCGCTGCAATCAACACGGTGATTGTGGTAGCCGGTTGTAGGCCTAGCAGCGGCGCTCAACAGAGTTGGGTAAAAAAGTTGATCTGTTGCTGCCGCATTCACACAATTTGTATGGTTTTTGTTTTATTCTGACATATAAAATTTAGCTTGCTATGATTAAAGAAAAGAAGGCTCAAATTTTGAATGTAATTAAATCGCCTAAGGACATTTTGTTTTGAACGTTTTTAGTACCCTAACCTATGTTTTCAAATATTCGAATGCATAAGAATATTTGGGTTAAAACCCATTTGGTGATATTCTAATTTTGAGTCTACAAACCATAAATAATAAGCCTAAACGTTTATTGATGTAACAAATAATTGCAACGCCGTTACAAGCAATAGAGAAGTAGGTTTTCAAGTATAGTAAAACATGGCATAGGCGCTACGGCAGGGCTTAGCTCAGAGGCAGAGTTCTCGCTTGTCATGTGGTCGGTCCCTGGTCCAAATCTGCGCCACTCTACTTTTTATTGCATTAATTAAACTTTTACATGTTTTTACATTAAAATAACAGCTCTAATCAACATCTATTTTTTTTATTACTTTGAATAACAAATGCAGAATACCAAAATGGATTGAAAGTAATGTTTTTATGATAAGCAGTTAAGTTCAACGCCCAAAAATCAAATATAGGTATACAAAATTGTTAGTACATCACAGGGTTTTAGCTATTTACGGAAGCAAATAATAAGCACCTCAAAAAATACAATGCAACTCCTTTTTAAAATTGCCTTACTATTATTTCCTATTAAAATGTCTTTAAATAAAACCGAGAGCCTTAATTGGGTGTAAAATAATATGATTAATACATTTTTGTACATCTTTGTATTCAAAACGGTATGCGGTTTAAATTTGGTTCCTATCAAAGCTTAAAAAACTTTTCTCTGTGATAGCTAAATAGTTGATATAACCATGAAATTTAACTCAAGTAAAATTAGACTAAAAATTCACAGAAATTGATAACTTAATCATAATTATTCTAATAGGGCGATTGTACGTACATTATAAAATTGAATTTCACTCATGTTGTACCACGCCACATTTATTGATTGTAATTTATATACAGTATAATAATTATCATTTTAGCACTCACAGATCTATTCGTGAGACAATTCGCACTTGCAAAAAGAACTTAATAATTAATTTGTTTTAATGATGTGAGTAATGAAATAGCTCTCTTTCCAAAAATACTAGTCTACTTCAAATAATACGGGTGAAGAGAGGTTGGTAGAAAATAGCAAGTATTTACTAGTGTAATTTACAAGAGTAAAACTTTATGAAACACATTGCTGTCTACACTAGTAAAAACCACTAATAATACTAGTCCCTACACTAGTAACTAGTATTTTACACTAGTAGGTTTTTGAAACGTAGACTTGTAAAATACACTAGTATTACTAGTCCATGGACTAGTAAATACTAGACTAGTATTTTTATGAAACAGGGCCCTGAAATATCTTACTAATATTATAAATCTGAAAGTTTGTGAGTTTGTGTGTGTGTGTGTTGCTCAATCACGTATAAACTACTGGACGGATTGGGCTGAAATTTGGCATGATGATAGCTCACATTCCGATTAACATTAAAGCATATTGTTATCCCAAACATCCTTTCAGGCTCCGCCCCAGTGGCTCTGTAGTTCCCCATGTTAACCTTATGGTTTTTCATATTTAAAAGGAACTAGCTGTAACCCGCGGGCTTTGCCCCGTTTAACTTCTTAATTTTCAAGATTATCTCGTTCGCATGGCTCACTCACCTTTAGGTTGGAGCTCGTTCGCTACGCTCACTCACCTTTAGGTTGGAGCTCGTTCGCTGCGCTCACTTGCCTTGAGGTTAGCTCGTTCGCTACGCTAACTCGCCTCCAGGTTAAAGTTCGTTCGCTACGCTCACTCACCTTTTGGTTGCAAATTAGCTGTTGTCATAAATGTAAAAGAAATAATAGTGCTGCACCCTGTTGGTAATCCTTGTAACTTTAATGCTATTGAACATCATAGAACAGAACCAACTTGTTTAATTGAAACAGCTGTTAAGATTCAATAATTCCATTTCTCATAAGGTTAACATGGGAAACTCCAGAGCCACTGGGGCGGAGCCCGAAAGGATTTTTGAAATAAGAATATGCCTATATGTTAATCGGGAATGTGAGCTATCATCATACCAAATTTCAGCCCAATCCGACCAGTATTTTTCGAGTTTACTTTTCCCATACACACATACAGCAACCACCTCTTTTTTATAATAGTATAGATTAATGAATCTTAACAGCTGTTTCAATTAAACAAGTTGGTTCTGTTCTATGATGTTCAATATAAAAGTTACAAGGATTACCAAGAGTCATTAGTTAAAAAAAAAAATATATATTACTAGTAACATCATTAATGACATTTCATTACAAATTGTGATCTGTTACAAAGGTAGCTTTGGAACCATGCAAGGGAGTTGCCGCAAATACCAATGTCTTCCATTTAAATTCATTGTTAAGCCCCTGAGCTGTGGATATTATTGTAAGAATATATTACTTACGTCAATCAGCTCATTAAGTCGTGAGTTTCACCTCAGTACATGTTTCGACACATTGTCATCATCAGCTGAGTTAGTACTTGTGAATTAAACCTTCACAAGTACTAACTCAGCTGATGATGACAATGTGTCGAAACATGTACTGAGGTGAAACTCACGACTTAATGAGCTGATTGACGTAAGTAATATATTCTTACAAAGTCTTCCATTTTTCTCAATAATTTTGAACGGTCAACAGAATCACATGCTTTTTTAAAACCAAGGAAAATTTATACTGGATGATTTTTTTCTGAAATCGCAGAATTTAATTCTTTATTAATATTGAACAACGCATCTGAAATATTTTTGTCCTGACGAAACCCGTACTGACGCTCACCGAGTATGTTATTGACCGTAGGCCTAAGTGGACAAAAAATGACTGGATCTTTGATGGCCTCAGAGCAGGGGGTGGTTTTTGACACTTCTGATATTTTCCCCACTGTCCTAGGACCTTAAAGCTTTAAAATGAATCCTCAACAGCCACCTTTTACCTAGCCCGAGATATTTTGTGGGGACCGATTAGCTTACGGAATTACATATAGCCTAGCATATAGATGTCTATATATAATGTACAGCTATAGTAGTTTTTCTTCTGATTTACGTCATCTTAAGCGTGAAATATCTCTCCAACCAATGTTCCAACAATTTTCCTAAAAACGTATGTTAGCATATACTTATTAGCAACAATTGGTCAGTGACAAAACATCTCCCCAAAACATTAAAAAATTCCTCACACTAACTTTTTCATGTCACAAATTTTGACGAAAGGTTTTTTTTAACAAAATACATTAATTGTATAATTATTTAATTATATAATTAATAAATACATTAATTAATGAAATAATTAATTGTATAAAAAAAAAACTACGAGTCATGTTTTTTAAGTAACCAGAAGTTACCAGAACTTTTTAGATATGAATAGAACACTAGGTGTGCCAATTCTAATTTTAAGTCTTCCAACAGAGAGGACAGAGTGCGTGACAGAGAAAGGTCTCGCCGAGGGGACCGCCCCAGCAGGTTCTCTGGAGGAGGGGGTGGGGGCGGCGGAGGCTTCCGTGACAGGAGCCCCGTCAGAGAGAGAAGACGAGGCCCCTCAGACAGGCGAGTCTACGTCTCCAACATTGCTTACGAGTTCAGATGGCAAGAGTTAAAAGACTTGTTTAGACAAGAAGGTATGTATTAATGTGTTACAAATTCTTAGGATTATTTATAAGGGTAACACCCTTACCTGAATGGGAAAGAGTCCAATCTGGCACCAGAAACAAAAACCTTTTCGCAGCATACAAAAACATTATCGCCAGAGCTCAATTTGTAAAAATGGGGTGCCGGTACTCTAACCATTTAAATGTGATTTGATTTGTACATATTTATGCCTATATTTTTATCTTTCCAAAAGAGAGGTATCGGAACTCTTTTCCGCCATTTCCCCTCCCCCCCCCCAAAATTGAGCACTGATGGCATATGGGAAATTCGCTAAAAGGGAGGAAGATATATCAGGAATTCAAAATTGACCATCAATATTTCACTGTCACTAAATGCATTTTCAACTTATGTTAAAGACTCGAAGTTTAAGAGAAAGTGGTTTTTAAGCTTAGGCCTAATTGTGGCCAAAAAGTTGTTGCAGTTGCCAAATATGTACCGGTTCATATTTCTCAGTTTCTGTTGATGTTCAGGCTATATGTACTTACTTACTTACTGCCATGGCTCTTGGTACCCAATGAGGTACGTACTTTGCCTCGCCAACACACCAGTGCCTCCAGATTCCACGATCCATTGCTTCTACCTCTCTTCATCCCATTCATCTCATGTCTCTTCTCACTTATCAACACCTCAAGTTGGGCCTTCCAGGAGGTCTTAGGCCTACCGCACACGAGAGACTTTTTGTCGGCCGACTTTTTAGTCGTAGTCGGGAGTCAAAGTCGGCCCCATAGTGGTAAATCTGAGTGCGCACACGAGCCGACAGCAGTAAGACAGTCAGCAGACTGTCTTCAGACTGTCGGGGCAGTTTGGTGCTGACCGATTTTCCCGCCGACTGCTCCCCGACTCAACTGTCGTGTCTTATTGATAAAGGCATGGAGATAAGTTAGGACGCGCACACTGACGACTAAAAAGTCTGCCAGTCTGACAGTCGAGTGCGTTGTTATCATGTGTATTATTATTGTTATTATGATTAGTATTTAATTTGTGTGTTATTGTTATTATTAAGGCTTCGACAACCACCAGTGCAAGTGTTTTGAGGGACGAGAAAGTTGATAAACTTATCGATGAAGTTGAGGCAAGGTTCCCTCTTTATAAAAATACTTTGAAGGAGTATTTGGCCATAATAAAAAAATACCCCCGCTGCAGCAAACCTGCAGACTAAATGACATCCTATTTGCCTGATTTAATTTTGTATTTAATCTATTTCAATAAAATTAGGATAAACGAGGAGTACCTAGGTTTGCTGCTACAGGGAGGGTATTCAGGGTGTGTTTTAGTAAAATAGCTGAGTATAAAATAAATAGATTTGCCAAGTTTTATCAAAATACATCCATAAACAAGCAAACTACAACAGTTTACTTGTTCTACATATAAATGACATGAAAATTTTAACTTTAAATATTTTGGAATTTCCCTGTAACCATTATGATAAAAATTAGCATGCTAAATTATTTGTTTATTAAGCTCTGCAAAATGTTTTCTAAAGAAGTTACGGAATCTTTTGATTTTATCGTAAAAAAATTGGAAATCCCCATTTTTACCCGATAAAACCCCCCATAAATCCCCGTTCTCATAGTCATGCTGGTTTGCGAACTCCTTCGAATAAAATAGATGTAGGGTTACACGTTTGTACCAAATTTCATCAAAATCGGATAATCTTTGCTCGAGTTATCGTGCTAACGGACAAAAATATATGTGTGTGTGTGTGTGTGTGAATTTGAACGGATGGTGTGTTTGGACTCTGGGGATATCAAAACGAAAAAGTAAATCGGTCCCGGGACCAGGTCTTACCATAAGACCTATGGTTATAACTTATTCTCTATATGGGAAATTTGCTAAAATAAGTTATGGGATGAGGTATTTGAAGCCGGGGTATTAATAATTGATCAAAACTACCAACACTCATTCATGAGCACATGACAAATTTGTCCGGATATTTCCTCAAATCCGAGAATATGAGGTAAATCTGGCCTTTCAAGGTTCTCGGACTATAAATTGGATGCACCCAGTATTTTCTATTACGTTTTCTTGCACGAAATCGTATCAGTAAGACACATATGACAGCGGTTTCTGTCAAATACATCATTTTGACACTCGAAAGACGATTAAACAGTCGTGTCGTGTGCGCACCCACAGTCAAAGACCAAACAGTCTTGACGACTTTTCGATTGTCCACCCGACTCCAGCCAGACAGTTGGCAGACAGTCGGCCGACAAAAAGTCTCTCGTGTGCGGTAGGCCTTATACCCTCCGGGTTGTTTGTTAAGGTGTTTTCACTAAGGAGCCCTCTTCCTTTCTAAACACATGGCTCGCCCACCTCAATCTTCTACTTCTCACCTCAGCCACAATATCCCTGTACAACTCTCTCAACTCCCTGTTGTACTTTGCTCTCCATTCTCGATTTTCAAAGGTTAGTCCAAAGAATTTTCTTAGAATCTTAGTCTTCTTCTAGGTAAGAGAAATTGTTTACTTTATATAATTTGTGTCCTATTTCTACATGATTTTTATTATTTAATTGGGTAGCTCTTTTACACTCCATTATCTTGGTTTTGTCTTCATTGATATTTAAGCCTACTTTTTTAGCGGGGTTTGTGAGTTTTGAAACCATAACTTTTAGTTCTTCTTTCTTTTTGGCAACAAGCTAGTGCCACATCATCTGCAAATGCCAGGATATGTATGTTGGTCCCCATAGTAATTCCAGGGCCCTGTTTCATAAAGATACTAGTCTAGTAATTACTAGTCTAGTAAATACTAGTCCCATATTTACCTGTCCTACTAATTTGTGTTTCATAAACGTTTGTATACCGCTAGTAAATACTAGTGTATTTTTAAAAATATGTATTTACCTTCGTCTACAGCTCAATCTGTTGTAACTTGAGTTACGGCCGTTTCGGCATTATAATGCCATCGTCAGACGTTGAACATTCAGCTGAAGTAGCGTCGTCATAGTTGAAACACATAACACGAACACGAATAACATTTTACAATTACTAACGAAGACACAACGAACAGGCCTGTTGCACACACGGTACCGGTTGACATTGCCACGATCTGAACTGGATGCCGACTAGAGGTTAATCCTGCATCGTTCTTTGCGTAGTGGTGTTATCAGCTGACCTTTGTACTCCTGCCTTTTGTCTCTTGTCCTGGTCTAAAATACTATTGAAAATGATGTCTGATTTATATTAATTGTAGTTTGTCATTTAATATTGTGTCATCAAAATTATTTTCTGTATAGGCTCTGTAAATTTTGAATTCTTCTAATGTGTCCAATTTATTTCCTTTCTTGCTTGTGTGGAGTATATCGAGGCCAGTGTTCAGATCATGCATGTCATGGTTTTTGTCAACCAGGTGTTGAGCAAAGGATGATTTTTGTTTGTCGGCTCTTGGACATGGGTGATGTTCTTTGTACCTGGTTCTGAATGTCCGTCCAGTTTTTCCTATATAAAAGCTCGGGCAACTAGCACATTTAATTTTGTATACACCTGACTTCTCACTTTTGTCGATTACATGATCAGAAACGTTTAATTTATTAATTGTCTTGTTGTTGGTCTTGAACGCCAATTCGATACCATGTTTTTTCAATTCTTTCGTAAGTGAGTACTGAATTGAATGTGAGTACTCTACACACACATACTTCTTCTTTTGTGGTGGACGTCTCCAGACTTTTTGTTTTAGCGAATTTCCCTATAGGGAAGTAGCTATTACCGTAGGTCTCATGGTAAGACTTAGGCCCGGGACCGATTTACTTTTTCATTTTGGTGTCCCCAGAGGCCAAAAACACCATTCGTTCAAATTTTTATATATGTATATATATATATATAGATTTATATATATGTGTCCGTGAACACGATAACTTGAGTAATTTTTATCCGATTTTGATGAAATTTGGTTTGAAGGTGTAAGGCGGGATAAACTTGAATGAGTTCGCGATCCAGCATGATCGGATCATGGGAACAGGGTTTTATGGGGTTTTATGGGGTAAAAATTGGTTTTTCTCACTTTTGACCCTCAATACACAAAATTTCCCAATTTTTCTCTAAACCTTCTTAAAGGGCTTTAAAAAACAAACAATTCAGTATATCAAAGTGTTTTTGTACAGTTATTGGTTACGGAGAAAACTAAAAAAATGGTAAATTTAAAATTTCCATGTTATTCTTATGGAGAATATTGTAAAATGTTGTAGTTTGCTTGTTTATGGATATATTTTGATCAAACTTGGCAAATATATTCATTTTATACTAAGCAATACTTATTTTACTTAAAACACGTACTTTATTAGTTTCCTTGTAGCAGCAAACCTAGGTACTCGTTAAACCTAATGTTATTTAAATAGATCAATTGAAAATCAATTCAGCCAAATGGAAATTCGCTTAGACGGCAGGTTTGCTGCGGCGGGGGTATTTCATCTTACTTAATAACCTGTCAATCATATTGCTGTTGTACCCATTAGATAGCGCTATGTGTTTTATCAAATTTAGTTCTTTATTAAAATTGTTGTCTGACATTGGAACATTTAACAATCTATATAACATACTATTATAAGCGGCATATTTCTGTGATGGTGGATGGTATGACGTGTTATGGATGGTTTGGTTTGACGTGGTTGGCTTACGATAAATGCTGAAATCCAATCTATTGTCCAATTTTTCTATTGTCAGGTCTAGAAAATTCATTTTGTTTGACTCCTCAATTTCCATCGTGAATTTCAAATTTGGGGCAATATTGTTTAAATATTTGTGTAATAATTCCAGTTGTCGGACACTACCATTAAACAAAAGAATAGTGTCATCTACAAAAAGTCTGGAGACGTCCAACCACAAAAGAAGAAGTATGTGTGTGTAGAGTACTCACATTCAATTCAGTACTCACTTACGAAAGAATTGAAAAAACATGGTATCGAATTGGCGTTCAAGACCAACAACAAGACAATTAATAAATTAAACGTTTCTGATCATGTAAGCGACAAAAGTGAGAAGTCAGGTGTATACAAAATTAAATGTGCTAGTTGCCCGAGCTTTTATATAGGAAAAACTGGACGGACATTCGGAACCAGGTTCAAAGAACATCACCCATGTCCAAGAGCCGACAAACAAAAATCATCCTTTGCTCAACACCTGGTTGACAAAAACCATGACATGTATGATCTGAACACTGGCCTCGATATACTCCACACAAGCAAGAAAGGAAATAAATTGGACACATTTGAAGAATACGAAATTTACAGAGCCTATACAGAAAATAATTTTGATGACACAATATTAAATGACAAACTACAATATAAATCACACATCATTTTCAATAGTATTTTAGACCAGGACAAGAGACAAAAGGCAGGAGTACAAAGGTCAGCTGATAACACCACTACGCAAAGAACGATGCAGGATTAACCTCTAGTCGGCATCCAGTTCAGATCGTGGCAATGTCAACCGGTACCGTGTGTGCGACAGGCCTGTTCGTTGTGTCTTCGTTAGTAATTGTAAAATGTTATTCGTGTTCGTGTTATGTGTTTCAACTATGACGACATTACTTCAGCTGAATGTTCAACGTCTGACGATGGCATTATAATGCCGAAACGGCCGTAACTCAAGTTACAACAGATTGAGCTGTAGACGAAGGTAAATACATATTTTTAATTAATATCACAGTTCAGGGGCTAAAAATGGATTTTAATAGTGTATTTTACTAGTCACGTGACCAAAACAACTAGTAACGTGACCAACTTTACAAGGTGAACTCTCAACACTAATTCCTAACCTCAATCACGGGTTTTCTGACGCTTCATAAAGGCTTTTAATTTTTTTTTCATTTGATACTAAAAGTAAATAGCTGTAGAAACGCAGTGTCCTCTTTTAATTAATAACTATATAGACATATAAGTAAAACAATCATATATTATTTATCAAACCGCTATTATTTATGTTCATCAATGAGCCCGCCGCCGGCGTGGCGTCGCTGCAATCAAACACGGTCATTGTAAGCCGGTTGTAGGCCTAGTTGCCGCGCTCAACAGTTGGGTGGAAATTGATTTGTTGCTGCCGCCTTCGCAAACTTCAACCAGGACGTGATTGAGCTATGCGAACGAGCTCATCTTGAAAATTAACGAGCATTTGACATAAAACCACATTAGGACAGGACGACATCTGTCGGGCCAGCTAGTTACCTATGTAAGTCAAGCGTGCTTACTTAGCTTAGATTTTTGGGTGGATTGGATGAAAGGTTCTCTTGGTTGGTTCAGGTTTGGGAGCTGTCTGGATTTTGTGGACCATTTTATTACAAATTCTGTTAATTAATCTATTGTTTTCCCACAAGATCATAAAGCCTCCTAAACTATTTACTGAAATTCTCAAGCAGCTTTCATTTGGCATGATTTCGGTGCAAATCTTAAAGTGACCCGGAAACAAAGGTGTACATTCGTCAAAACTAGGCTGCCAAAATGTAATCGAGAAGACATCTTAGGTGGTAACGTAGTCTAGTTGATGTCACATAGGCCTACTTTGCATTTTGGGGGTTCAAATTTGAAACAAAATTGCAATATAATTTTTTTAGTTACCTTTCCCAATGCTGTTTTTCTTGTAACACTCAGTGTCAATATTCATAAAAACTGAATCCTTGTTTGTAGTTGTTAATGGTAATAACTTTTTTACAGTTGGAGAGGTTGCGTTTGTTGAATTGTTTGTCGATGAAAATGACAAACCCAGAGGTTGTGGAATCGTAGAGTTTGAGTCTAAAGACTTGGCACAGAAAGCAGTTGAAAAGATGCACAGATATGAACTCAAAGGAAGAAAACTAGTTGTTAAGGAGGTAAGGACTTGACCTATTATACACACCCCTGGGGCTATTTCGTACAAGGTAACTTTTTTTAAATTACCAATTTTAAATTTAAAAAAAGAAATAGTTCAGGGTGTCCACCAACCGGGAAAACCGGGAATTATGTGTGATTTTTTTGAACCAGGAAAAAACCGGGAACTGTGCATGAATTTTGTATTTAACCGGGAATTTTTTGCCTCGACCGCGGGAGACGACGATGACGTTCCCGTCACCGCGGAAGACGACGATGACGTTCCCGTGACCACGGGAGACGACGATGACGTTTCTGTGACCACAGAAGACGAGGACGATGTTTCCGTGATCGCGGAAGATGACGATGACGTTTCCGTGACCGCGGGAGACGATGACGACGTTTCCGTGACCGTGGGAGACGATGACGGCGTTTCCGTGACCGCGGGAGACGATAATAATAATAATAAAACGTCTTTTATTTAAAGCGGTTTTCAGGAACAATACTGTTTTTCAAAACTACTCAAGTCAATACATACAAAAGAAATATTACAATAACAATAAATGACTTATTAACTAACAATACCTTAACTTATATTTACAAAAGACATTTTTTGGAGTTCAGTCAAAAAGCTTTATAACTAAGTTTTTTTACATTTTCTGGCAGTTGGTTGTATTTCTGAGGAGCAAAAAAAGAAAATCCCTTTTTACCATATTCTAACTGGACGCGAGGCAAGTGCAGCAGGCCATCCTGTCTGTACTCCTCTCTCTCACATCTCTCCTAATCTTTAACTTATCTTTCAGATAAGTCGGTCTGCTAGTGTTGGTGACCCTATGAACAATATCCACAGTCTCTAACAAACATTCCGTCTGCACAGGCAACATCCCACTTTGCTTTCTGAAGGAAGATATGTGGTCAAATTTTCTCAAATCATATACAAATCTTAATGCATTGTTTTGTAAACGATTTATCAAATTAGTTTGTTCAATTGACAGACTGAAACCAAAGGCAGGCAAAGCATAATTAATGACAGGCATAACCAAAGACTTCACTATTTGTAGTTTTACATCTTCTGCCAGTATTTTCCTAAATCTATTAAACACCCTGAGCAAAGTCATGACCTTTTGAACGATTGATTTTACTTGTTTTGAAAATTTTAACTCCACGTCAATTGTGAGACCAAGAACTTTAATTGTCTCAGTAGACTTTAATATCATGTTCTCCAGAACTACATTGAGATCGTGTTTGTGAATTAAAGAATGCATGCTGCAAGAATTAGTAAAATGTAATAACGAGCACTTCTTAACATTCAAAGCCAGCCCATGGTTCTTAGACCAGTGAAAAATTTTCATCAAATCATGGTTTATCAACTGTTGTGCTTGCAAACTATCTGTGGGCTTGAAAGAAAAGAGAAGTTGCGAATCATCTGCATACGAAAACAGTGAGCAGTGAGATAATTCTTCACCCATGTCAGCAGTGTAAATAATGAACAACAGAGGCCCCAGTACACTCCCTTGAGGTACTCCACAGTTCTTTGGGAGAGGCTCCGAAAAGACACCATCCACCCTAGTTATCTGCTTCCTATTTACAAGGTAAGATTGAAACCAGCTTTGAGCTATTTCACCAAACTTGAAATCACCAAATTCACCAAATTTTAACTTGGCCATCAGCAACTCAAAGTCGACCGAATCAAATGCCTGGGAAAAGTCCAAAGCCACTAAAGCACTATCATCCTTTGCTCTGTAAAGCTGGTCCATTATATTTAACAAAGCTGAAGTGGTGCTAAAACCTCGCCTAAAACCGGATTGGTTTTCAGGTAAAACACGATCTATAAAAACCTCAATCTGACGATGACGACGTTTCCGTGACCGCGGGAGATGACGATGACATTTCCGTGACCGCGGGAGACGACGATGACTTTTTCGTGTCTGCGGGATACGACGATGATGTTTTCGTGACGGCGGGAGATGACGATGATGTTACCGTGACTTCGGGAGACGACGATGACGTTTCCGTGATTGCGCATGCGAACGATGACGTTTCCGTGACTGCGGGAAACGATGATGATGTCCAACAATATTGCTTGACGATGATGACCGCGGGAAATTATTTGAATTAAGCTACGATCGAGGAAGATTATGATAACTTTACTGTGATCGCGGGAGATGATTATAATGTTTCCGTTACCGCTGAACAATATCAGGGTTTTTTCACGACCACGGAAGACAGTGGTAATGTTACTGAGTGAGATTTTCAGGATTTTTCAGTTATTGCAGAAAATGATGATGGTGTCTCTACGACTGTGTTAGATGATTACAATATAACCTCGAGTTTGGCTTGAGCAAAAATTTCAAAATGGCACACTTCTAGAAAGTTTTTTTTTATATTTTTTTGTAATATCTTCATCTACCTTTAATGTGGTTTTTATTTAATGTGTTTAGAAGGGTTTAAAACATAAATTGGCTACGTGCAATTTTTGTAATTTCTGCATTATTATTTCTGTAGGCTACTTGGAAAACAACCCATTACTCCAAAATTATACTATATGAAAGTACATAAAGCCAGGGGTTCGTGTAGTAATCCTTCAGAAAATTTGGAAAAATTGTTATGATCAGTATTAAGAATCTATTTTTCAGGTGTCTGTACAGAGATTCGATAAATTTTGGTATTGACATATCACTATTTTTAGGAAGTTATTAATAAATTGCAGTTTTAAGGATTAGTTTTTAATTTTTTGATTATTTAATCAGTAATATATAAAAATTGAATACTTGTGTGTCAGGCAATATTACAGCAATCATAATTTTTTCCCCTTAACTGAGAATGCTCTTTCCGATAACTAAAATAGCGAGCTGTGTAAATGTGCTAAAACAGCATTGCGGGAGTTGGCGCAAACACATTGAAAATTTAGTATAAAAAGTACGACCTGAACTACCTGGATTTTTTTTTTACTCATGAATTTTTTCTGGTTGGCCTGGTGGACACCCTGTAGTTCCAAAATTATTATATACAATCAGTAGCCAAATAATTAAATTATATATTGCTTGTGTTTACATTACTTTTACTTCGTAATTTGCGATGTAACTACGAATCTCCCTTATGTGTACGGTATAGCCCCGCTCTCCCCTACTAATATTATTAGTTATATAATTGATAGTAACTGTAGGAAAAATATTAATCTGTAACACGAGTGCAAACTGCCTTTACTGCACTCGAGAACCTCGAGTAGACATTTCTCTCGTGTGCAGCAAATTGTCACTTCGCCCACTAGTTACACAAATAACTATTGAGATAGGTCAACGAGCTTGGTATGATTCTTGATCCATAAGGAATTAATCACTTTATCAAGTCTTATCAATAGCCTATCTCAGATCATGGATGCTGAAAATTAATTTCTCCTGTTTGAATAAATATTGACAATTTTGAATTGTGAAGTTTATATTTTTTGTTTGATTGTGTTGCAGGACTTTGACATAGAGAGAGACAGGCAGGGTCGTCCAGTGGGAGGAGGTGGTGGTGGTGGCGGCGGTGGAGGAGGTGGTGGACGGGGCAACATGGGAGGTAGAGACCTTGACATGGGCAACCGTTCCAACAACGCCAACAACCGCATGCGTGAGGTGGACCGGGGAATGGCGGGGACTATGGGCATGGGCGGAGGAGCCTCAGCCAACAAGTGGGGCAACACGTATGGACTCAGTCCTCAGTTCCTGGAGTCTCTACATATCTCTAGTCCACTGGTCACCAGAGTGTTTGTGGCCAATGTGAGTATCATCCATTTTAGTTGAATTTTAATAATTTGAAATTGCCCTACCTTAACAACAAGATTTTTGGAACCATAACTTTGGTTTATTTGATTGGTTATTACATGAATTTCACTATTCTAATGCAAATTTGGTCACTGAAAAACATTTACGATTTTTTTTTCTTAAACATAAATTGTCCAAATAGGCTACTCTTATTGTTAGCCTATTGTCCAAAACATCAATGCAACAAAAACATCGGTCACTTACCATAGATGTAAAAACGTCAGCTATCGACACTCATTTGTTTACGTCATGCTTGCAATCTAGTAGGTAGAATTATCGCTCGTGTGAACTGTTATGTCACCGGGCTGCGACAATTCTAGCCTCAGCCTACTCGCTTGCTAGATTTGTTGCTTCCCAGAACTTGACCCAAGTACCACACAGTCGCACGTCTGTTTCAACACGAGAAGCTTGGCTGTTGTAGTCTCAGTCTGTTACACAGATCATCTAAGTGAGTAGCTGCTTCAGTAGACTGTAAACATAACCTGGACTCTGAGCTTTCTGACAGTTAACTGAGTAGAGACTCCGCGGGACAGGCCGGATAACGGTTTTTTTTTTCGGTTAAACCGACGTCCCCAAAAACTCGTTAAAACAGACCGTTTAAGTGCATATTGTACAGTATTGACTTAAATTTAGGAGAGCATTGTATTTAGACACGGCACTTTTATTTTGATCACTGGTCTCAAATCTTTATCACGAGAACCGTCGTTTCAGTACCGCCCACTTCCTGTCGATCCAGTGGTGTTAAACCAATGAGCTGATACAAATTGTCAGGTTAAAGAGATGTCATTTCCGCCGAGTGTAGTCCGGTTACACCAATGTCCCGGTTAAAAGGTATCCGTATAAGAGGGAGTCTACTGTATGAGTTTTTACTTCTGGTTTATTTTCCAATTATTTTACAGCTGGATTATAAGGTTGATGAGAAGAAGCTACGAGATGTGTTCAAGTTGGCTGGCCGTGTTCTAAATGCTGAGATAAGCTTGGATAAGGAAGGTAATGAAAATGTCATTAAAATGTAAAATTAAACTATTTAGTAGAGGATAGAGGCTGCAAGTTTCTGTAAAGTGCAAGACTTCTGCAAGGTTTAAACACCAACAGATTAGTAAAAATAGTATAAACAAATTGGAATTATAGTAGATAAATTTGCTAATAGCACAATTCACAAGCGCAAACAATTTCTATACTCAAAGAATTGCAGCTTTAAAATGTTAATAGCACTCTTACAATGTGAATTTAGTTTGAACACTCAACTGATGTACAACACTGTACAAACCAAGGGTTGGCTGGACCAGGGAATTCTGTAGAAGATGTTATAATAAGGGAGAAGGGTATGGCCTTGAAAAATTACCACGGCTGGGTTAACTGAGGAGCAGTTTATTAGGCTGCGCATCGCAACACCGAGCAGAGTTTAAATGCCAGTTTTGACGTATTGATCTTGTTCAAACCACAGTTGTCATTCATTAACTAATAGTCAACATTCAAATTATGCTGGAAAATTAGCAGCCATGATATTTTAACATTGATTTGAATTAAAGAAGTTTCAAAATGATGACTGTTTGGATAAAGAACGTTCTATTGTATGTTGCAGGTAAGAGCAGAGGGTTTGGTGTGGTGGAGTATGAACACCCAGTTGAGGCAGTGCAGGCTATCTCCATGTTGCACAACCAGATGTTATACGACCGGAGATTGTCGGTGAGGATGGACCGCGTAGACAAGCCTGATGGACCTCCCAAACTGCCTGAGGGACTCAAGGGCCTCGGCATGGGATTGGGCGCCAACGGTACTCCCCTGCAAGATGTCACCAGTAAGTGATCAACCCTAGTACCACTTTCAAAATTTCATTCTTAGCAAATGTTATTTTTCTTAAGTCCCGAACAACTGTATGTTTTTGATTTAAGGACCACAGAAGCCTGAACCACCTTTCAATTTGTTAAAATTGTTACATTTGTATTTACAGTAGACTTCCTCCTATCCGGACTCCTCGGGACCGAGGCCAGTCCGAATAACGGTTTTTCCGGTTAAACCGACATCCCCAAAAACTCATTAAAACGGACTGTTTACTGTGATAAGTATTCGACTTAAATTTAGGAGAGTATTGTATTTAGACACGTGATCACTGGTCTCAAATATTTCCCACGAGAACAGTCGTTTCAGTACTGCCCATTTCCTGCCTATCTAGTCCGGTTAAACCAATGTGCTGATAAAAATTGTCCGGTTAAACAGATGTCATTTCCGCCGAGTGTAGTCCGGTTAATCCGATGTCCGGTTTAAAGGTATCGGATAAGAGAGAGTCTACTGTACCCTCCATTAAACTATAAAAATTCATAGACAATATATTATTATGTTGATTTCAGGAAACCTTCCTAGCATAGCGCAGAACATTCAACCGACAAATCTGAATCTGGCCAACCAAGTAGCGGCTCCTTCCCTGACACAAGCAGCTCTAGGTATGATCAGCTTATCCACATCATAGCTATGGAATAGCTCAATAATTCATGTTATTTTATAGCAGATTGTGTATCAAAAATTTTTTATGACACAATCATTGTAACTTTAAAGTTAAAAGTCGGATATTTTTTAGTTTGGTCATCCATCTATCATGATAATTTAATAAAAGCCCTATCCTATCGGTAAAGAATAATAGTCAAGATTTAGTTTTTTTTTTTTTATCTAAAAACACTGCATGTGGTCTTAGAACATTTATATATACTAGGGGTCTGCGGGTCCCCGATTTTTTCGGGTCGGGTCGGGCCAGCGGAAGGCCCGAGACACCGGGTCGGGTCAGAGATTTGTTCGGGCCAAGATCGGGTCGGGCCAAAAAAAATAATTATTAGGCTATTTTTAAAGTTATAATAAATAATTTTCAAAGAAACACTCTTATATACATTATTACAGAGGAATTAAAATGTTAAAATTAGAATTAAATATTAAGTTTGCTCACGTTTAAGAACAAAGACACAACAGAGCAATTATTGCCTTACTGTCACTAGCCAGAGCCAGTCGTCTACTGACAGACAAAACAAAAGCCGTGACGCAACAGTGCAAAGAAAACGAAGTCAAAAGAAAGACTATTTATCCAGAGGTACCAGTTTAATTATTTATTGTTTATTCCATACCTAGTTTAAATTATATTTTAGTATTTTATTTACATAATAAATTATAAACAAAAGAAATATCTGATATAGTGTACAGATCTGTATCTTGTTCTTTTATTTTCCTATTGTCCTTTTTGTCATTCAGTAACAAAACAAAACAACACTTCTGATCGTCTGGTTCGGCATTTTATGGTCACCATTTATTTTTTTTTTTTAAGTATCAAGTATCAACAAGTCTACAAAGAGGTTAGGCCTAAATATTTTATAATTTTATGAAAGTAGTTTTCATCAGTAAAATTATTTTTTTCTTAAGTTGGATTGAGTTTCAAAAAACATATTTCTAAGATCCAATACAATATTTACAAGACACAAACTACCATGAATTAATTTCTTTGGAAATTATCTGTAACAGTTTTATATTTTTGAATAAAGAAAATATATCTTTTTGTCTCTACTTCCTTGTTTTGTTACTTGTATTTTGTCAGCAATTGGAACAACCGGGTGGCGTAATAGGGGCGGGGGAGGGGGAGGGTCTATGACCTTGATTGTCCCCGGGCCTGGCTCGGGTTGTGTAAGAGGGGTGGGGAGGGGAGGGGAGGGGGAGGGTCTGTAACCTTGAGTGTCCCCGGGCCCGGCTGTGAGAGTGATTCATGGTTTTTTGTTTACATTCTACTACCCTTCCTTCCGAGAAAAAGACCCTACAGTTTCAAAAACATTGACTTACAGTATAAAAACATTGAGTTGTGTTGCTAATTAGGGCACTATAATTTCTCTGCTGTCTGCTTATGTTGCCAAATTAGCATTTAACTTTCTTTTCTCTTGATTTAATATAATTTTCTATATATTAAGAGTTCCTTTTCGGGTACCTAATAATTGTGATATTGTTTGACTTGAGTTTATGGATTTTTAATTCTTTTCATTTATTAGCTAAAATCAGTTGTTTTAGGATTTTAATCTCTTGCAATACCTATAACTGTGCCTATAACTGTGTATCTATAACTGTGTATGACATGATATGCAATTTTTACAGTCTTTACTATAACTATACCATAAACAATGTATGTGTGTTATTTATTGTTTTAGAGTTGTATAATAAATTAGTTTACACAATATCTTTTCTTCAATGAGTTCTCCACTTGTCATGTTGCTTAGTCTATTACTATTTTAGGCCCTATAAAAAATAATTCCTATGTAAAGCTGTAGGCATACTAATGCCAATAATAGATAATTCTTTATTTATAATGATGTATCTAATAATGCTATTGTAAGTGTGAGAGGAGGTTAGGAGGCAGGGAATGAATGATTCATATTGCATGGTGGAAACATAGAATTTTTATTTTCTTCTTGCTTGCAGTCTTGAAGCCACAGGCCCTAAACTTGTGATAAGGTTAATTGATTTGTTTATGATCCATTTATATTAAGTTCCATTACAAACTTGTTGTAATATAGCTGTTTAGATATTTCAACAGTTATGAAAATGGGAAAGAATGGCTTGATAAAAAAAATTATTTTCTTCTTTCTTGCAGTTGAGGCAACTCCTAAGCTGTAAACAAGTTATGAACATGAAATAATATACATAAATACAATCTTTTTCCATATGTTATTTTCAAGTAATATTATAAAAACAGATAGGAGTTAAAAAAAGAAAAAAAATCCGGTAATTAATAATTTTTGGCCCGACCCGATTTTGGCCCGAAACCCGAGGACCAAAATTATTGGCCCGACCCGACCCGACCCGAACCAAAAAAGTCTGACCCGCAGACCCCTAATATATACCTATAGTTTTCCTTAATTGATTAGGTATTTATCAACCTAATAATTTTAAAAGCTATTGTGGCTTGGTTATCAGTAAAAACTAATCTTTCATTTTAACTCTTTTTAGGACCAGCGGCAGCCTTAGCAGCTAGAGGTAATATTCCCCATTACTCTTGTTTTTGGCTTTAAATAATTTTGTTTTGTTTTAGGCTTTTATAGTTAGAAGCAAGAAAATGTAACTGGCAACAAAAAATTTTAGCTAAAAATGTCGCTAATAAATTGCATACTGTCATTGGTTAGTGAGTTAAAAATTTAGATTGTTTTTTTCCCAATCTAACTCTCAGTATAATTTAAGCAACTAAAAATTAAAAGCAAAATCAAGATTTAAAAGAATACTAACATCACCTTACTTCTAGATACTTCATTAGTTCTTTCAGCATGCCCCGCATATGGATTTTATTTATTAACTTGTAATGTGTGTTCTGTTGACTAGACATGCTGCCTAGCCTAGGAGGCGCCGGTGCAGCAGGTCTTGGACTTGGTGCTGGGGATCTCAGTGGTCTAGGCGCCGGGGGACTCAGCGCTGCAGCTCTTGGCGGCTTTGCACCCAACAACCCTCTCATGGCCCAACTCAACGCAGCAGGCAACAGCCTACTGGGGGCTGCAGGTAATAAACAACATTGACCAAATACCCTACTAACATTTTCTTTAGGAGAACTCTATTTTACCTCATAGATAAGACACTTTTAGGTTTAGTTTTATCTGCAATTTTTCTACTTACATACTTTGATTATTTAAATTGATTCATCTATTATTTAAACAACCTAACCTAACTTAAAACAAAAATGTGTCAGTTAAAAGGGTTTTATTTGTTTTGAAGAGTTTTTTGTGCTTAAACCTGGATAACTTTGTTTTTAGTATCTTATGTTATGTGAACTAAATAATTAGTAGGCCTACTTTTATACTTTTCAGTAGACTGTCAAATAATGTTTTTATCATCTCTATTTTTGTTTTCTTTTCTGGATATTGTTGCTATATTTTAAAGTCATGCTTCTGGTCTAGTTCTAAGGTCAGTGTGTTCAAAATGTGTGAATGTAAAGTCAAATGTTACTTCAGTTTTTACTTTGTTTTGGTAGTGCCAACATACTCTACCATTTCAGGTGGACTGGGTAACAACCTAGGAGGCGGTGGACTTGGAGGAGGTCTAGGAGGTGGACAGCTGGGCGGTGGCGGCCTAGGAGGCGGTGGAGGAGGTCTAGGCGGTCGGGACTTTGACTCCCTCAGTGCAGCTCTAGGAGGCGGTGGTGGAGGAGGTGGAGGATTCAACTCCAACAACATGGATAGAGACTTCCACCGGCCACCTCCTAACAACATGTCTGGCAATGGTAGAGGCGAGCCCCTTAGTGACACTATCATGATTAAGAATGTAAGTTGCTCAATCATGCAGAACATTCTGATTCTATTATTTTTTTTTTCTTTAAAAGAAGCCTAATGTTGTGTAATATAGTAAATATTTTGATAAGCATACTTAGAAAGAGAACAGCCCCTTCATATCTAACTCACCGTTAAGTCCCAGTTTGGCTACAGGAGGCTACAGGATAACAAATTGCATGCAACTTTGTAGAATGTTATCACATAGTTTTAATAGTCAGGGGTGTAGAAATATGTAGTGTTTGGTTAATAATATATTTGTACAAATGTTGACCACCTAGGCCTCTATTCAAGTCAATTAGGCAATGTATCATTTTATTGTTCCTAAGTTTTCCTAAAGAAACATTTTTTATGTACCTATGTTATATTATTGTTTTGTCTTTGTGAAGATCTTTTGGGGAAAAATTAAGAAACTATACATTTATTTTGGATCAAGATCATTGTGCAACCATGATGATGATGTTAAGCAAAATTCAACCATTAGTAGTTTGTTTATGAGGAAGTTGTACCGACTCGGTAACATGATGTCCTGTTTGTTTTACAGCTTCCGCCCTCCGCAACTTGGCAACAGCTGAAGGACAAGTTCAGAGACGCAGGAGATGTCAAGTTCGCTGAACTGAGAGGAAAAGACATTGGAATCATCCAGTTCACCAGCAAATGGGATGCAGAACGTGCCCTCAGTATCCTTTAAAACACTAATCGAGTATTATATATTACTAGAGAACCCGTGCGGCTCTTATAGTATGAAACATAACGCCAAGGAAAACGTTATGCTTAAATTCGAGTAATTCTAGTTACATCTTAGAGTTGGTTAAGCACTTGTTTTGTTACAAACTAATTTTAAAAAATCTCTATTTGCATCGTCAAGGTTCACCTACATTATTTCTGCTCTCAGTTTTAACTGATACTTTTAATGAATGCTAAACGCTCCGCTTCAATTCGTGTTGACATGTTGCAACAGTTGTTCCAGCATTGAGAATTGAAGAAAACTGTTGCCTAACTGATAACCTGTGTTAAATAATTTAAGTTGGGTCATTTTATTTCTTTGATTTGATACATCCCCCTAAACCAACGAATTTTTTTCCGTAGAGAATCCTGAAAAGTGGGGTGATATCAACCATTTTATGTGCTCCATTTTTTACCCAAAAACTCTGGGTTACCAACTGGACAGCCATAATCTGCTTTGAATAGGCTAAAGCAGCAACACCATTGAAAGTTGGTTAACATATTTTAACGTGTTGTCTGTCAGTCACAGTATATACCCCGCATCAGAACATTCTAACGTTGTTCAGTGGAGTTTCTCTTAATACCTGTCCCAAAGTTTTGAAAGTATGGATTCATTTGTCGAAATAGGTTGGATATCTCCTGTATCTATAAGATTTGGATAGCAATTTTCAATTTCTCTTTTTGAACAGCGTATATTATTTGCCTCTCCTGAATCATAAAAATAAACTTGATAACTACTCGATCGTTGAATTTATGTTAATAAACACTAACTCCTTCACTTATGTTTAGTCTAATATTGCCACTAAAACTTTAAATAACAAATATGTTTTTGAAACTTCTTATTTTTTACTTGAAATGTCTGGATTGTATTGGTGAATTCAAAAAACTTTGTGAAGTAAAAAAACTTTGTATAAGTTTGTCCAAGGAACTGGCAACATAACCTAGAAGTAAACAATCCATTTGCGTTTTTTCTCAATTGAAGTAGAGCGAGTAGGCCTAATACAAACGTTTACAATAAAAACATAAGGTCCGCCAAGATTTGGTATAATCTTGGTACTTGAACTTACAAAGGCCAAGGCATTATTATAGTTTCTACTAAATGTTTTGAAATATCTCTATTTGTCAGTGTCAAAAGTAAACATTTCTTGCATGCATTCATTAATTGATCTGACATTAGGCAAGTTTACTTTACCACCATGAGAATACTATGTCCTTTGTATATTTTTTCACTTCCAAAGTAAGTTGCATAACAGAACTGGCAAATATTATTCATCTCACCAAGTGAATGTGTATCTGGATAGGTATCTGTTAGACCAGGCATCTCTTTTTTCTACCCTTTCATACGCATAAAATATCCTATTATTAATTGTCACCTCCTCCCGTTTTCAATATTTCTTCTTTGAACTCAAGGCATTTTCTGTTCTTCCAGCAAAACTGATTAACTGTTTAACTTGGTCTTAACCTACTGAATATTACAAACAATAATATTTACTCCCAAAAAGCTAATGAGTTTCTTTTTATAAACAGCTGTTTTTTGTTTTTAAATTTGTTCTATGTATTTCTTATGGGGAAAACCCGACATTTGAGAGGGTCTCACGCCCTTAAGAGTAGGAATTTTAAAATTCTAAAACCTTATTGCAAAACTACATATTGAGACAAATTTTTTGACACCTTAAACGTTGAAATTGGTCCACCAATAAGGGAGGAGTTGCGTTAACAAAAAACTGCTTCACGTATTATAAATATAGACTAGTGAACCCGTGCGGCTCAACGCGCCGCAAAAATACATACATGAATTTAGAAAACAAATTCATACTGTCATATATTGACTCTGAGTCGAAAATAAAATACAGTAATGAATGAAGCCTTAGAAGGAAAGCAGTCCATCAATTTTCTAGCTCCATATGTCTTATATTTAGTAAATTAATAAGCTATCAAGTATTTCATAGTTATTTTAAGATTTTATAACACATTTAATAAAACATTTTAATAAAACCAATATGTAGCATATTTGAAGAACATAAAAATGCTTCTTGAAGAAACCCCTTTTAAAAATAAACACAAAAAAACCTATTTTATTGACAACAGTACTTCCTTGAATTAACTTACTAAGTTTTTATATGTGAAATCACCTTCAGGAAGATTACCCTGGTCAGAATTTTCCGTGATGAATATGTGTACACCATCAAATATGTAGCCCTACTTAAAGCAACACATAGTTGCCCATGACTGAAAACTGGTCTGGGCAAGAACAGTACTATTCTTTTAAGTGATTGCCCTTGTGCTTTATTGATTGTCATTGCAAATGACAAAGCTTATGGAAATTGGCATCTTCCCATTTTAAATGTTAAGTTTGTTTAAGACGGGCACATTTTTATTCTCGGAATCAAAATATGTCCCCCCGCACTTGTTCTAGTTAGGACTTTCAAACACACACATTCTATTAAATTGTTACCGGTAACCATTTTGGTCACTTGGAGCCTTGTTCCATTAATGAGGCTCTTTGGTGTATTGATATTCCTCATCAATAAAACCACACTGCCCCCTTGTTTAAAATCAATCTGTGCCTTGGCAATCCACTGACCTCTATATTGTTTAAAAACTCTGTTGGACATTCTAGATGTGTGTTTAAATTATCTGCAAGCAAACTATCAATGCTTTCGTACACCTTGGGCTCACCTGGCAATTTATCCAAAACTTTGTTGTTGATCAAACCACAGACACAGTTTTTGGAGCTAAAATAGCTTTGTCTTTTATTTGACCATTTTGTATACTTTCAACGACGTTTGGGTGGATGAAATCAACAGGGCATCCAACTCCAAGCAATTTTGCTGGCAAAATAAGGAATCAATTAGCTTAAGCCTATTTTGACTCTTTTATTTTCTACTTATGCATGTATTGCGTCATGAAGGTTCATATAGCTCTGCTCGAAGTTTTGGCTGTTCCCTAAACCGAGACGTTCACCTTCAATTCTCATAAAAATTTCAACTATATATTGAAGTGTAACCTTACCACAACAGCAGAATACTGAAGTCTAACAGATAGCCTGTGGGCCGCGAACTGCAAATGTGTAACAGTGTTCCAGTGTGTAGTTGCCCGATCAATCAGTGTGTAAGGCTATTGGATCAAGACCTGAAGAGTGTAGCCTACAGCCAAATCTTCTAAGGTTCCACTTTTAGGATACACAACAATTAATAAAATAACATATTTTTGTATAGAAACAAACTTGAAGTAGAGGATTTGTTTTGTTTTGATTTATAAATAAATTGTCTGGTAGATCAGCTGTTTCATGTCAAATTAATGATTGTCAAAGATTTGTGATTTTGAATGTTACAGTACAGTTTTGTAAATCATGGTAACTTATTCTCAACTAAATTTTACTATTCTTCACATTAAAATAAAGTAGTATGATCCATTATGAGTACACTTTAAGGTATCCAAAACATGATTAAACTTAATATACATTTACAGGTATAATACACACCGATTTCTTATGTAGTAGACTTTGACTATTTTCAACCAAAAACATATGTTTTTATAAATAAAAATTATCTCCCATGTTATCCTTATGGAGAAAAAACTGACTTTAAGGGCCTCTGACGCCTTTACCAACGACTTTATAAAAAATCTAACAGGGTGTCCACATTCTGGAAAGTCAGGGATAGTCAGGGAAAGTCATGGAAATCTATTCTGGTCATTGAAAGTCATGGAAATAGGCAAAAGGTCATGGAAAGTCATGGAAATCCCCAATGATGGATAGGTTTGACGGGACTTTTCAATGCTCTAGTCGGCCATAACCCCGACTATTGTAGCATTTTTTTTTTTCACAAATGCACGACAATTTAATTTAATACATTTGTATAGGTTTATGAGTTTTGAGTTTGTAATAGTTCAATACAATCTGTCCCTACTATATATTATAATTGAATTTAATATTTGTAGAATATTGTTACAACAATAGTGTATATTGAAATGTTACAACTTTATTATTACAACTCAAATTGGAATATAAATAATAGGCTATTGTTATAATGTTTAGAGTTGTCTTAAAGTTAAGTCTTTCTTAAGTTAAAAGCTAAATTTAGTAAACACTAAACTCAATAAAAATCAATAATAAAAAGTATATCGGAAGGAGAAAAGAAAGAGGAGAGAGAACTTGGCCAGCTACGGGGACGGAGGAGGCTGGGTTTTCTTATTTTCTTCCTTATTTTGAATACCATATTTTTGCAAAATTGATTACTCCATTGTTATCTGTTAATATATATATCAGTATTTTCTGTGAAATTACTTGTCTAGGCAGTAGGCTATTATCTGTGTGTACGTATGTTATATATAATTTTCAAATAAAATTCGTGAGTCATGGAAATCAATGTTAAATGGTCATGGATAGTCATGGAAAGTCATGGAAATTAATGAGAAATTTTCTGTGGACACCCTGTCTAATATCGTTGGGCACAACTACACGTTTTAACCTTTATTTTGAGACCTCAAACGTCAAAATCGGGCGAATAATAACAGAGGAGTTTGATTAACAAAAAACGGCTTAGCCTATTATATATATAGATTTGTTCAGTTTTTTGAAGAAATAGCACTAGGCTTGAAAAAAAACGTCAAGGAAAAATAAATGGGTATACAACAAACGTACATATCTAAGAATAGTCTGGGCGTCAGCTAGGGGGACCTGGAAATTTGGGTGGACAAAGGTTTTTTTTTCAGTTTGATTACGAATATGCCGGGTGTCACTTTGGGACCCTTGGGCAAACGCCGCCATATTGAAAAAATGGTGGCCAAAACTGGGATTTCTCTAAATAACTTGAAAGTTTAAGAGATTTTTGTGAAGAGACATGAAATAAATAGCGTAAAATTTTACTCAAAAATGATGTTCAGTAATTTTTGTTAACCCTCCCAGTGTTACTTGACGAAAATTCGACAAGCAGCACACTTTGTGTAGTGT